TGGAGGAATGGTGGTGGAGGTGGAAATCTAGGAGGTGGTGGGGAAAAAGGTGGTGAAGGTGGAGGTGGAGATGGAGGTGGAGGAGAAGAGGGTGGTGGAGGTGGTGGTGGTGGAGATCTCAATGGAGGTGGTGGTGATTTACAAAATAATGGATTAGTGTTAAGCCAAGGAGGTAAGTAAGGAGGAAATATTATGCATTTTTTCGGTTTTGGAAAAACTATAGTAGCATTAGTAATCGCAACTAATGTGGATAAAATCCATACTAAAACCCACAATTTCAGTCCCATAATATTTTATTTTGAGCAGACAAATTAAATTAAATATTTTCACTCTGAATTGATTGAAAAAGTATGAGTTCTTTCCACATATATATACAGGTGAATTCTGCACATACATTAATGTTTGTGCATTCTTTTTCTCTACTAGGCTGGCCAAAATTCATTAACCATCTTTCCGTAAATTCAACAAGAGTTTACTTATTTCTTTTGCGTACAAACACATCATTAATTGAATTTTTTTAACCTTCATTACGAAATTAGATAATTAACAATTTGCTGGAATTATGAAAAAAATCAGAAAACAAATTAGGAATTACTTTATATACAGCTGAATTGTACAAAAAAAAAAAAAAAAAAATATATTGAAAAAATAATAAAAAAGTAGGAGAGTTAGAAAAATGAATATTGTGTATTAACTATTTATGACTGACCAATATTAAATTATTGTTTCTTATTTACGTGAAATTATGCATTATACCCTCAAAGTTGAAATTTCATTGTAATAAAAGTCAGTACAAAGTATTAATTGGTTGCTGCATAATGTTTTGTATTAAAACGTGTCCTTGCATGCAAATATTAAGGCAATCTTTGGAAGCGTTTTGGATCTTATTTTGATTTCATTTTGAGGAAATATGTTGTGGGAGAAGAATTTGAAAATGAAAGTAATGTTTGTTTGTATTTTGGAAGGAGACAAAATACACTGTAGCAGTCAAATTATGTTTAAAGGTGTTAGAAAAAAGTATTTTTGAAGAAAAATATTGAAAGATGAAGTGATGTTTATTTGTTTTTTAGTGAAAACATTTTTTACTGTAGCAGTCAAATCATTTTACTGTAACAGTCACATCATGTCTGAAGGAGAGATAAACTTTTAAAATTGTTTTGAAAAAATGATTTGAAAAGTGTAATAAATCTCATTTTGTTTTGGGGAAACAATGAAAACAAAATGGAAATAGTTCCAAACATTGCCGATCGGAGATATGTTCCAACAAGGTAAAATGAAAAACATATTAAAACAAAGAGATTAAATTTCGAGCGGGTCAGTCGATATTTAATATAAATCGGATTCCACTAATTTTTTGATACGTGGCACTCTTAATTCTGAATAAATCACGCTGATTATAATTATGGTTAGAGGGCTTATGGGTTATGCTGGAGTTTTCTTTTTCCTTTTTTTTTTTTTTCCAATTATTAGAATCCTAATTATATTTTTATTTAAACTATCCACGTGTCAATCATCCTACGGCATCCGATTTTCCTATTAAAACAAACCATCCGGTCTAAATTTGCACCCTAAAAGAAAATGAAATATACATGTTATTACATTCTTGTAACACACTACCTATTAAGAGTAATTAAATGCTGCACATGGTTATTTATACTTGGTGAATTTTAACAATCGAAAAATTACTGACTTTGTCCAAACCCAACCAAACCTTCTTCCTAGTGGGTGGACGTCGGACGGATTGGATCAAAAATGGTTTTTTTTTAGAAAGTTTTTATTTTTTTCAGAAGTAAAAAGTGGATTCCAATTTCCTTTCCAAAAATATCGGAATGCAAAGTTCATTCGGGTTTCGGAATGAATTGAAATCGACAGAATTTCGAAAATTAAATTTATTTAATCTTTTGTCCCAAATTCGGATATAATGAAAATTTTCACTTTTTTTTTTTTTTTTTTTTTTTTTTTTTTTTTTTTAACCCTTTTGGAAATTTTGCAAAAAAATGCAAAAAAATTCAAAAAAGGGTTCGAAAAAACCCCATAAATAAAAACCCTTGTGGGAACAACAAATTAAAACGTAAACAATGCAACATAAAGTTCTGATACCAATTAATATTTAAAAGGGTTTAATTTACTTGACCTTCCGTATTTATATTTTTCATATAAAATATAACATAAGTTATCTTATAAATTATAAAATATATCATTAAATTATATTAAATATTTCGAAAAACCATAGAAATACTTGGAACTAAAATCGAATCAGAAATCGGAATTTCCAGTTATTTTCTATACCATTCCGATGTTATTCCAAATAAATTCGGAAAAATCGGAAACTGGAACTTCAGAAATCGGAATGAAAAATACGGTTTCAAATTCGAATATTTTCGGACCGAAATTGGCAGAATTCGGATATTCCATTCCGATTTCCACTCCTACTCCTCCCACACTTCGAAGCCATCGTACTCAGAGATGCCTATTTCAGATTACTCAACAAAACAAACGATTGTCTCTTTGTTAAATTTCTTCGAAGTAGATTTGAATTTATGATGTGACGACATGAATTTTGGTGATTGGACAATAAAATGAGGTTTTTTTTTTACCAGGCGGAGGAAGAGGTGCGGTGGTGGTGGAGGTAGTCCATGATTTGTTGTGAAATTACAATCAAGTCCCTAATTAAAGTTTAAGGAATTTAATATAAATTGCAATTTGGCCTTTATTGCTTTTCGTTTTTGCATTTTACTCATAAACATATGTATTCAACAAAGGGGTAAACTTGTCCAAGAAAATACAATAGCTAGAATAAATGTAATAATTCAAAAAAGTCGACACGCCATGTCAGCAAGACGGGCGGATTTTTAATGGATGTGTTGTTTTGGCTCATTTTGAAGTTCAAGGGATTTTTTATACGCTGTGTATAGTTTAGATAGGGAAAGTGAACTTTACCCCAAAATTTATAATATACACTTTTGCCCAACAATTATGCTATAGATAAATGCATTTTTATTTACCTAATTAAACAAAGGATTTAAGCATGAAATTACCCGAAAAAGTATACAACTTTAGCATACGAACAAGATGATCAATTTTGATCAACGCACAATTTATTCAATTATATTAAATATACGAGTACAACTACATCAAACATACACTCCAAACAACCTCTAAAATCAACTATATTTCATTACATTTACCAAACCATTAATCTCCATAACTACAAATTCCGATGTCATCTGGAGTCGAGATCTTGATGGTGGAATACTTTTTTCGTCAATAACTTCTCTCTCAAAAATGAAAAGAAATACTAACAGTGAGTCTTATTATTGAACACGTATAGAAGAACTATTATTATTACTTAGAAAAAAAATTGAAGATTGCAGTACAATTTCGAAAAGATAGGGTTCGAATTAAAGTCGCAATCGACACCTTTTAGTGCAATAGTGGTACCTTTTAGTGCAATAGTGGTTGATCATACATATGAATCAGGTAAGGGGTGGTGGTGGAGTTTGGCAAAATATTAGGAGAGGAAAAGGCAATTTTGGTAAATTTGGAGGGTATTTTAAGCAAAAATGAGGACTGGGGGAGTGTTGGGGTGCAGAAGGACAAAATATAGGTATTCGTGGAAATTGAGGTAAAAATGGTGGATTTCTTATGCATCGAATAGTTATCGCATTGCCAATTGTAATTAACATAGGCAAGAGTGCAAGAACAAACCATAATTTGAACTCAAAATTCAAAATGTAATCCGTTGATGCGCAATTTTGGCACCGTGTATCCAATCTAGTTGATTCAAGTTGCATTAAAAAACTGGGGAAATGTGGGATACCCCTAGTTTTGAAAATATATAGGGGTATATCTTATGGATTTTTCTTTTCTAGTCAAAAACCCAAATTCTAATCTTAATTTGATAGACCCTCCTAGATAAATTGAAATACCCATTTTGCCCTTTTAATTATAATTTAAAACCCTAACTACAAATTCCGATGTCAAAAACCCAAATTCTCTCTTTTTCTTTCTCTCTCTTCATCTCTCTCTAACTCTCTCTCTCTTCTCTTTTCTCTCTCTCTCTCTTCATATCTCTCTCTAACTCTCCATTTCTGCCCACAGCCCTCCGCCGCCGCCGTTGCTCCCCTCACATCCTTGCGCCGTCGCCGCTGCTCCCCCACCTCCTTGCTCCGCCGCCGCCGCTCCCCTTACCTCCTTGCGCTGCCGCCGTCGCTGCTCCACCACTGCCTTGCGCCGCTGCTCCGCCACGGCCTTGTGCCGGCCGTCGTTGCTCCTCCCACCGCCTTGAACTCCGTATTAAACCATCAACTTCACCTTTTAAAGTTATTTTTTAAATTTATGAATGTGCATCTATTTTTTATTTATATTTTTAAGCTCTGAATTCCTACAATTTTACCTTTTTTAATTGTTTTTTTTTTATGAAAACCAACTGAATTCATTCAAATCGTGATCCAATGGTGTGTAGTCAGATCTAATGATGAATTTCAGATCTGGAACCGGTGGTGTTTGATTTGTATCTATTTACTGCATTTATCAAAAAATAAACCAGATCTACTATGTTTTTGAATTTTGGAAGATCTGTGAACAATTAATATTAAAATATTTTTCTTTGGATTAATTAATTTTTTTATTATAAATATATAATTTCATTTTTGTATTTATTTGAAGATAATTCGAAATGCCTCAAGTGTGAGAGCTTTGTTTGTCGGTAATAGAAATTTAATCAGTAGTGGTTACTTAGTCATATACAGCCATATGTAGTCATGTATAGTCATGGCTACATATAACTACAGGACTTGTATACTATAGGACTTGTATACTATAGTCCTATAGTATAACTATACAAGACTATTGCCGAATGCAGTTGGTTACTTAGTCATATACAGTCATATGTAGTCATGTATAGTCATGGCTACATATATGATATAACTATACATGACTATAGGACTTGTAGTATACTATAGTCATTGTAGTCGATTTTAGTTCTGTAAATTTATCAACAAAAAAATCCATTTTCTTTTGTATTTTTCATGTAATCTAACTCGCATGTTCCATTTTTCTATTTAACTCGTATTTTTTTGTCGCAGGTTTTGCTTTTATTATAATTTTATGACATGCAGAGAATAAGATGCGATGTTGCCTTGTGAAGTTGGATTCATGCTACAGTAGTCTAGACTTTATGTCACTATATATAACTATAGATAATTGCAGATAATTATAGTCACCTGTAGTAACATACAGTTATATGTATGCTATAGGTTTTTTAATGTACAATAATACTTGTTCATGTTTGAAGAATATATGAATGTGATTGTATTTTTTCATTTTTTGTTTGTTAGTTGATTTATAATATCAAGATCTAAATTGTGAATTTTATTTGTTGGTGTAGATGAATTTTGGGGTAAAAAGACAGTACATGACTACATATAACTATACAGGACTATTGAACCTGTAGTATACTTTCAGTTCAGTAATTTTACCAAAATTTGAATTTATAAAAAAAATATTAAAAAATTAAAAAAATTAAAAAAATCAAAAAATTAAAAAATCGAAAAATTAAAAAAAAATCAAAATATTAAAAAAAATTATTTTACAAAAAAATACAATATTAATAATAAAAAAAAGTACAATATATATACAAAAAATAAAAAATAATTAAAAATAAAAATAATGATATATGCAGTACAAAATACGAAATGCAGGTCCAAAATGATGAATGCAGTAGTTGAAAATGCTAAATGCAGTTGGACGAAAATTATAAATAAGGGCATAATAGTACTTTTGCCTCTCCAGGAGGGTATCTCAAAGGAAGATTTTTAGGGGTGGACCTATCCCTATCAATTTTCCATATGAGGGGTGTATATCGAATGGACCCTAAAAAACTAATGTACATGAATAAAATTTCCGTGTTTTAAATTTTACTAAAATAAAATTAAAAAACGGTCAAGAACACATTTAAATTGAGAACAACATTAATAAATTTAAAACGACATTTAATATTTCAATTTTTTTTATTTGTAGGGAAATTTAATTACCAATATGAACGTTTGTAATTTATGTTTTGCTTGAGAAGATGAACATTTGTATTTATTCACACCTAAATAAAATATTGGGCAAATGGCGAAAATGGACATGACAAGGGACTGAAATGCACATTGGTCCAACAAAAAAAACAGTCTTTCATATAAACTCCTTTCCATGTCTTTTGTCCAAAATACCCTCCATAATATAATTATTATCAATCTCATCAATTATGCTCTAACTTCCTTAATATTACACATTGACCCTGAATTTAAACAAATATATCACATTAACTCCCATTTTAATAATTTTTTAAATTTTTTTCTTTTTTTCAGAAATTAATTTTATTTCTGAATTTTTTTTCCGGCCAGATTCCGGCATTGACTGACGGAGACCGTCGGTCTCTGGCGTTGATTTTTTTTTTCTAAATTTTTTTCCGGCCGGTCAACTGCCGTTGATTTTTTTTCCGATTCTTCTTTTTTTTTTTTTTTTTAAATTTTTGTTTGTTAGAAAAAAATATTTTAATTAATATTACCGTCTTGGCTGCTAAATTACTGTTTGGGACAGTAATATTACTAATATTACTATCCAAACAGTAATATTATTGCATAAGACAGTAATATTACGGTCGGAGACAGTAATATCACGGTCGAAGACAGTAATATTACAGTCGAAAACAATAAATATGCAGGCCAAGACGATAAAATTAATTAATACAGTAATTTAACAGCCAATACAATAATATTAATTAAAATAATTTTTTTTAAGAAAAAATAAAATTTCAAAAAAAAAAAAAGGTTAATTAACAATTAAATTACTGTCTCCGACAGTTAAATAACTGCTGGAGACAGTAATTTAGCAGCCAAGACAGTAATATTAATTAAAATATTTTTTTAAGGAAAAGAAGTCAATTAACAGTTAAATAACTGCTGGAGACAGTAATTTAGCAGCCAAGACAGTAATATTAATTAAAATATTTTTTTTAAGAAAAAAAAAGTCAATTAACAGTTAAATTACTGTCTTCGACAGTTAAATAACTACTGGAGACAATAATTTAGTAGCCAAGACTATAATATTAATTAAAATATTTTTTTAAGAAAAAACAAAATGAATGAAAAAGTCAACGCCGGAGACCCGACAGTCAACGGCGGTTGACCTACTGGAAAAAAAATTTCAGAAAAGAAAAAGTTTTCAAAAAAGAAAAAGTCAACGTCGGAGACCGGCGATCAACGGCGGCTGACCGGCGGTCTCCGGTGGTGGCGTGTCAAAATTGGGGTCAAAATTGAAATTTATGGTCAAAATTAGTTAATTGATGAAATTTGTCAAAATTGGGGTGTAAATCATGAAATTGAAGTTGAATTGGGTTTCAATGAATTGAGGGTAATTTTGGTATATATAAAACGGTTTTCCTTATTTGCAAATAAGTTTGAATGTGCTGAAAATATTTGCAAGACAAAAAAGTTGAATGTCTCTTTTTGAATTACATGCCCTTGTCATGAGCCTATTTACCATTTGCCCTAAAATATTATACCTAAATTGTGCTATGTTACCACTAGATCATTTGTGAGTTTGTGAAATAATTAAAAAAAATCTTTTATTTATCTACTAACTGGTATA